ATCTCTGTTTTCTTCATCAGTCTCACATATCCTCTGCTTCATTTATGCAACTTTGGAAAACTTTCTTTCGTCTCTAGTCACATTCTCTATTTATATCGCTGTTGTTCACTCCAATTTTCGATTTCCACAATGAAAAATGAGAACATAATAAAAAAGCTTAGAAAGAAGAACTGATGAAGAAGTTTAAACCTTGAAGAAGTTTGTTTTGTTGTTGTAACGTAGAGTCAATCTTCCCTAAATCTGATTCTAGCACAACTTAATGTACTTCGCTTAAAATTTATTGTTTGAATTTTGTGCATTGTTTTTTTTTGGTAAGAACCACTCATGTTCACGATCTTTCTCTCTCTCTCTCTTTCTCTGAGACCAAACTATATGGATGAAGTTAAAGGTGGTAAAATTATTATAATGGATTTGAAGTCAATTCAGGTTTTCCTACAGATGTCTAAGCGTATTACATTATCATGCAAAGAAGAAATGTGCCAACGCCGACTAAACACAATGTGACCCCAACCCACGTGCACCAAAGTGTAACCAAGGCAAAAACAATGGCTTTCCCCGAAAAAATGATGCCAACATGTACTTTTTTCTCGTTTTGATCAATCAATCAGTGGATATTTCGTATTCGTCTAACACGGTGCCGGCCAGGAAGAGAGAAAGAAGGGCGGCCCAGTAGGTCTCTGGCCAATCGGTAAATTTTATGTCTTGATCGAATGAGGGGATTGTACTTTCTTTCTATAAAAAAGGTCCGATGCTAACATTCCACAGAACATGTTTGAGTTTCGTCGACTTTTAGGAAAAATTGATAGAATTGAACGCTTCTGATTGAATTGCAAAAAGATCATGGAAAAATTAATTTAACTAAAATAAAGTTTTGTGACGGACTCTTCTAGTGAATCATTTTATACAATAGTTCAGGTTAGCATAGCGGGATAACGAAACGAAGATTGTGTATTAGTCAGGAATAAAGAATGAGTTAGGTTCTCGTTATATATGTTTGAACTACGTTGTAGTAAACTGATGATTCAATATGAAAGTAACGGATGTTTGTATGTGTAAATATACGCACATTGATATAATACATTTTTTGCCGGCCAAAGCTTGCATTCGCTTTAAACTATTTACTAAGTATAATAAGCGAAGAGACTTAAGCAAGTTTAAAGATATATTTTGAATCTAAGTGACAGGCATTCAAGATTCGCCTAAAGGTGAATATAACTTTTTCGCTTTTCTTGTTTCCCACTCATCGAAAACATTCCTTCAAGTCCTAAATAAACAAAACTAATACATATGTGTATATGAATGTAAGCGTGCAGACAGAAAAACAATTTGATTTTAATTGAAAAATAGCAAAAATATATTCGGCGAGATGTGTTTATCTTAAATTTGTAACAAAGTACTCACGTAGCGTTAAGTATTTACATTTACCCACATACCTGCACGC